TCGTTCTCGACTTTCAATGATCTAGAAGAAGAGGGAGCAATGGAGATTTTGTCACTTTGAAATTAATAAAAACCCTCCTAATAGTGAAACAGTTTTTACCATTCTGAAGATAGTGTGAGAACGGCTGCTGTGTTCATTCATTTTTGTTTCTCCATAGTGGCGATTTTCTGTCAAAAAGTAATATTAAAATACTTCTACTTATATTCTGATAAACAGAAAAAAAGCAGAATTTTTAAGCTATCTGAAAAACACTGATTTCTGAATATAGTCTCAAAGAGATATCCCATGATTCTAGATATACCCCATTCATCAATGCTTTTCTAGGATATCAGCTGACATTGACTAAACAACTTACTTTCTCCTTTTCTGATCCACTCCATAACTTGTTCTGGGGCAACCACCACCTCTTCAATCAGATCTTCTACATACGTATTCCTCTTAAAAACAAAATCAGTAGCGAGTTTTACTTAACCCCAAAACTCACTTCAATACACTATACTAACATTACCAGCAATTATTACAGTATTTATTCCAGTTTGCTTCCTTCTTAAAAGTAAGCAATATCAGTTGAATGTCTTTTCACTCTGAACACAAGAAATGGACAAAGTTTAGACCTTTATCAGAACTAACCTATAGGCACAAGAATCAAACAACAGTGATCTAGAAAGTTTCCTAAAAATAAAACTGGTAAGGGAAATCCTTCCAGACATTTTCTGAGGGAACATAGGAGTATATTTCTCAGTAAACATTTTAAGGCCATAATCATACAACTGATAAGTCTCCCTTCTTCTCAACTTCCAAAAGCATTGATCATTTAGGGTATCAAAAGGAAGGCGGGGGGGGGAGGGAATAAAAAAAAAAAAAGCAACCACAAAACCCAAACCACCAATTTTTATTATTTGCTATACAAAGTTTAATATAAAGAAACTGAAGATAGCATTAATACAGATCTATTTTTCCCTATTGATCATCTTACTCAGTAGTTGTAGTCTGATGGTTATTCTATGGTTACAATAGAAAAAAAGTATCTACTTTGTAGATTATATGAAGGTGCTATTAAGGTAACTGTGTATCTGTTGAAGACTTCTAACACCTTGAGCTAGAGGCTTATTATCATGTTTGTAGAAGTTTTATTAGCGAGACAGTTCCCAAGTATTTACTGTCAAAGTTAAATAAAATATACTATCCTGGATAACTTAAGGGATTAAGTCTACTTTTACAACATTTATAAAGATAAACCAGCAACAGCAAGCCCAACTTCACTGTTGTTATTCTACTACATCAAGTGTCCTTCGGCTAATTCTGAATAGAACAATTACCCAATTTGACACAGAAAAGTTTTCAACTAGATGCCTCTGAAAGTTTTGGGTTTTTTTGTTTGTTTGTTTTTTTTAAGAAAAAACTTCTTATTTTACTCCAAGAAGGTACAATACATAACATCCACTTACATTAACATCCTCACGAATTCCCAGAGGCTTCTTTTTCCTGATATCACAAAGCAAATCTGTAATGGTTTCATTGTAGATTTCCATGTAAGAAACCCTTAGCAAGAATTCTCTCTCTGGAATCTAATATTCAAAGGAAAAAAAAAAAAAAAAGAAAAAATGACAAGACTAACCCATGAACACCTTTTAATGCAAGGTGTTAACCTTAACTCAAAAGTATGTTTGGATATCGTTCAACAGATTTCTTTCCCCCCATCCTCCTTGCACATTAGCACCTACCAATATAGAATAATTTTTCTTCTATCCCACCTCCTTCCAGCTGCATTAATGGCGTATCTTACTTTTACAACCTACTAAAAGTGTTAACTGCCCTACCAAAGCATGAGAGTTTTCCCACTTAAATGCCCTTTCCATATTTAATTTCCTCCCGTTTAGGCTCTTTCCTCTCCGTATGCCTAGTTTTCTCTCTCTGCTTGCTTAGATTTACTTTGCTGCGGCTGCTTCTTCCCCTGCCTCCCTGGTAGAGAATATTGGGGTGAGGAAACACTACACAGCAGACTCAAAGACTACAGCACCATTTCTTGCTTTTAGTTACTTTTATAGGCCCTCTAAGGTACTCTGCACCTCCTCAAAGGAGCAGTAACCATTTCACACAACTGATAACAATTACCCGAAATCCTCAAGGCAGAAACAAGTGCTCTGCAGATGATGGTTTGGAAATCACTGTTTTAACTTATGCCTTCTGCTTGTTTCCTATTAGCATTGAGCAATTAGCTTGTGATTCTTTTAAAAGCCTGAAATAAGTAAATTCAGTGCCATATTCTTCCCACTAAAAAAGTCTTTAATAATGTTAATTTTGTAAAGTTTTAAAATAGCAGAATAAACAGAGCTTCACATTACCTTATCTACCACATTAATGAGTGAGCATCTTTTTATACTTGTAAACAAAGTTTAGTATATTTGCACATTTAACAACCCCCCTCAGTTTTGTTCTGACTTGATTCCAACTAGTAGAGTACCATCTCTAAAACACTCATCTTTGCAAGGCCAGCAAAGCAACTGCAACATACAGTCCAATATAAGTCCGTTTCATTCATAAGTTCCTTGATAATAAAATTAACTTTTATGTAACAATCACAAATATCACTATCCCTTTCAGTCACCTCAATTTAATGGAATTGCTCACCTCACAAATAACTTTGAAAACATGTTGAATTGCCTTAGGGATAATGCCTGCAGAATCTTCATTTCCCATCATTGTGTATGTCTTCCCTGAAGCAGTCTGTCCATAAGCAAAAATTGTGCCTAGAAAGATGGTTAAATTTTACTAATCACTTATGCAATACATTACAAACATGATTTAAACACAGTTTTAAAACTTACCATTGTAACCTTGCACAGCTGACTGTATAATTGGAACAGCTACACCTTCATATAACTCCTGAGTGTTGTCACTTGAGTGAAAGACACGATCTTAAAAAAAAAAATTAAAATAAAGCAAGTAAATCCATTATATTGCAAGTCAAAACCAAGCTGTCATGTTACTCAGTATTGCTGACTTAAAAATCCAATAAATGGGCACCAGATCATCTGTAGGATAATTCAAACATAAAGTGTAATCAATTGTGACACTACTAACGCAGGCCTTTTTTTTTTTAATAAGAGAAATATTAAACCCAGAACCAAGAAAGATACAATGAACAGACAAGTAAAAAAAACCCTTAAGAATGATAGACACAGTTAAATAGTCATCCCACTTAATCCTAAAAACAGTTATGGCTAATTTATCTATGAGGATTGTAAGCCTGACAGGACAGGCTACTTGTTAAACTCCTAGCTTGGAACATGCTTTCACTGAATCTATAATTTAGGAAAAATCTTTGTAGTGGCTACATTCATACTAACAAGTAGAGACGATCAGTAGCAAGAAAGTCAAAGTGAGGCAGTTATAAGGATCTAACATCCACACTAGGCACCTTTCCATTTTGGGTTGGCAACCCCCTACTCCCTAAACACTCTGGACTAGCCCTAGTCTAGTCCATCTGTAACTAGAATTCATATGAAAAGAATCCAGCTCGTGTGTTCCAAAACCACTCTACAACATGAGACAGAGCATTAAAAGCAACATCCATCAGGAAGCTGACTTCAAAAGCATATTCCTGTTACTGACTGAAAATTAAAACCTGTGTGCCCCAATAGCACTCCTTCAAGGTTATGAAGTTGGGAAAAAAGTTCACAGAAGTTGCAAAAAGCTAAGGTCGTTAATGTTAGTTGATACATTCAAGTAGCACAGTAATGATGGTCCATGCGATCATGTTCTTACCATAATTGAATACTTTTGTACCATTAATTTCGGAAATAGTATTATTTTCGCTTTTCCAGTGGAGTGACACTTTGTCTTCGAGAGCTTTTTCTCTAAAAGAAGAGATACTCTGTTAACCTTATTAGGTTAGGACTCTGCTCCTGTAACGCGGGCCTCCCCCCTTACGGCGAGCGCCTCTCTCCCCCAGACCCTCGCCAGCCCCGTTTGTTCCGGCTCTCTCCTTCCTCCACGGGGACGGCCGCTGCGTTGATGCTCCCCGCCTCCTCTCTTCGCAGGGCGGTAGCGGTGCTCCCGGGGGCCCAGCTGAAGGTGAGGTGGTGGTGGCGAGGTGGGGGTACAGCAACACCCAGTG